AAAAAAAAAAAAAAAATCAGACCTCAGCTCGTTTTCCCTTCGCCCTTTCGTGAGAGACCAGTATCGGCCTCTCCGACGGCGGTAGGTTAAGGATACATAGTGTACCCACCTTCACTCTCACCCTCCATCTCCCCGGCACCGACATCCAAAAAGGAATCGTTTTCAATGATATCATCAGTACCGTTGCGTGTCACTCCTTGCGATCTATCATCAGTTGTATCAACACCGCCACCATAATCGCCGTTATTATCCTCTTTGACACGCCCAACATCCGGTAGATGCTCCGTACTCTTCAGCAAACGACAATACGTGTCGTTGAGCGTCGCACAGCGCACCGGCGAAAGAGGTAACGCATCTTCGAAATCCTCATCATCGTCATCCTTTTCCTCATCATCAGTTTCCTCCTCAGCACTATCATCGTAATCTTCTTCGTCCTCCAATGAGCCATGTCTCTGTCGCTGTTCGTTCTCTTCGTCGTGTTCATTACCCTCTCCGGTGTCGTTTGATGCCTCTCGCCGCTTGTTCCCTTGATAATTCGCGCCGCTCCCTCCGTTCGATTTAGTATACATTAATAACACTGGCGTCGGTAAATCATTCGACACCGCCCCTGAAATGGAGTTCAAGTCCAATGGGTCTGGAATGTCTTTCTTTGGTGAAAGTGGCGATGGGAGAGGCAGCTGCTTCATCTGCTCCTGAAGTTTCGGGGTTGCGGTTTTCTCACGGTGACGCCGGCGATACAGAAGGTCCTTTAGGTGATCAAGCATCTCTAGGTAGCCTTCGAGGGATTTTTCGGGTGGGGCATCTATTGAGTTGATGCTCGCGTTGCTACGTTCCGGGTCATCGTTGACCCGAACATCGTAACCACCGTCTACGAGCGCTAAAAGTGCTGCACGTTCCTCCTCTTCTGCCGCATCTCGATGGCTCACATCCTGGGATGAAAGGGACGTTTCTTCGTGACTAGCCAGGAGGGATAATGGGTCGTGTTGAGGGGCACCATCGGGCGTCGGTGTGTCCGGGTTATCAACACAGAGTGGTACGGCGAGGCTTGTCGGCATCACACAAGGCTGGCCTGGGAACGGGCAGAGCTCCTGCTTCTTCTGTTGTTTTTGTTTTAATAGCGTTAGCAAAACGCCTGGCCGCTGCCCGCCTGCTGCCAGCATTTCGTCCGCCTCATCATCACGGAGACTGCGCAGCACCTCTAGTGTGCTTGGGATGCTTGTGCGCGGCTCCCCCGCCTTCTGGAAACCTGTAAGGACATCATCGTCATCGCCGAGCACCAACATACCATGCGAAAGCGACGTTTGCAGGCGCGCAAGCTGAACACGATGATTAATCTTGTGGGTAGCGCTGGTGTCGACAACATCTCTCCACTGTTGTGCCACATCGGGTTGTTCTGACCCGACATCGGTACCTGAAGGCAAAAGAGGAGCGCTATGCAAATCTAATGAGGGGTTCGTCTCTTTTGTGGCATCTTCACATGGTGCGGAGGAGACGCCGTAGTCGATATCTACAAGAACTGGTGGCTCCTCTGCTTGACTATTTTGAGGGGCACAATTCTCACGGCGTGGTCCCACTCCGGGTGCACGTGTCTGTGGTGGTACCTTAACACCAAGCACTGCTGGCATGATACCGATTCCCGACTGTTGCGGGGCAGAAATGTTGGTGTTCCCGCTGCCCCGCTGCAGAGGCTGCTTCACCCCTGGCCGACCGGCAGCCGCATGCTGCCCCCCTAACAACGCCTTGGCCGGTGAAGACAAGAAGGAGGGCGAGCCACATTGTACTGGAAATACTTGCGCCGAGCGCACCTGAAGCGGGGCGAGCCCGAGAGGCGGCGGCAACTCCTTCTTACGCGGCCACTCCTCACCCGGGTTGTTGTTCCTAACCGCTACCGCCGCAGGGGCATGAGGCTGAGACGCCTTGTCCGCATTATTATCCACGCTGTTTCTCTGTTTCTTGATATTGGTGGGATCTGCCACGTTACTAGGAAATCGAGATAGTGGTGTCATTTCCTTTACTGCTGGTGTTTCTTCCATGTGTAACTTCATTTCGGACAGTGGTACCTGCTGTCGCACCAACTGCTCAAACCTACGACGTGCGTCCACAGCGGCTGGTAAGTCTTCTTTCGATCTAAAAGGCGACGGGGACCTGGGCCTGATCCCTGTCGAAGCTGTGGTTGGAGATCGCACTTGTCCAAGAGGTGGCTGCTGCTGCTGCTGTTTTGAAATACCTTGTGGCATAAAACCGGCAGCGGCGGTGGGCCGAATGATGTTTTTACCACCAACAATTTTCAGTTCTTTCAGGGGATCGTCGGGATGTGCGAAAGCACCCTCACCGGGCGGACGCAAGGGAGCGCTACTGCGGCGCGCTAACGCGTGCTGCGGGGCTCTAAACACTGCGCCATGCCTCTTCCCATTTCCATTGTCTTCATCTTTTTCATCCTCGTCGTCGGGATTAGCTCGGCTGAGAGCAGCGGGTATTGCAAGAACAGGTGCAGAAATGATGCGAAGCATCGCTTGTGGCTTCGGTTGTTGATGCTGCTGCAATGGCGATGACGCCTTCTCCATTGATGGAGACGGCCGAGGTACACCAGCCTCCGCTGCGCACCCGCTTTTTAAAGACGTTGGCAATCCCGCTTTTCCAGAAACAGGCGTCGGAAATAAAAATTTTCGGTTGACGTTGCTTTGGTTGTCGTTGCCATTTACATTTGCCGCAGCCGCAGCCGCAGCCTGCGGGGATCGCGCGGCATCTTCCCGTCGTGCCCCATCGGGTTGTTGCTGCTGCAGTTGTTGTTGTGCTTTCTTTGGTGGTAGCAGAATTCGGGGAGAATTTGCGGCAACCACTTTTCCCTTCTGTCGAGCGACACGTGGCGCCCGCTGGTTGTTGGGGACGTTATTATAGTTATGAGCATTGCTACCCCTCCGCACAGGTGGGGAGGGATCAGCAACCCGGGAAGATTTCGGTACGCAGCGTGGATCTCGCCCAAACGCAGGGCTGTGCTGTTTCTGCTGCTGCTGCTGCTGCTGCTGTGGAGGCAGTTGTGGCATCGCTTGCTTCCGAGGAGAAGGCGGAGAGCGATTCTGACATATCTTCGGCGGCGACGCAATACCCTTCTGCTGCACCGCTCTTGGCTGATGTAGTTCTTGTTGTTGGCGCTGTTGCTGATGCATAGGGTCTCCACGACCGATTTTCTTCTGATATTCGATTACTTTTGCTAGCTCCTGCTTACGCAGTTCGGCACGGCGGTTGGCAACCTCCTGTTGACGCTTCTGCCGTTGTATATATTCTTCTTGCTTGCGCTTCATATACGCATGTATCGTATCACGTGCACTCGGGTCAACATTTTGCGCATACCGCTGCATAATGGCATCTATACGCTTCATCCGTTCGTCAAACCCAACGGCGCCAACGCCATTACCATTACCACCACCACCACCGCCTCCCGCTGCGTCTCGCTTGGGTTGCTCATTGTTGTATAGGTTGCGAGGATCAACTACCGGTGCCACATGCCGCGGCATTTGTTGTTGTTGTTGGTACTTGGGAGAGGCCGCGGGTGATGCTGGACGCACCGGAGGACTCTCAGCAGGCAGAGCATGTGTGGGAGAAACACCACCATTGACAGCATGCGCAGCAGCTGCTTCCTTGTCCTTTTCTGCCCGTCGCTGAAACTGTTGTTGCAAGTACCGTCGGTAGTTTTCTATGCGGTTGTGGTCGACTGCTGCACCTGCAGCGCCAGGCTTGGGGCCCAGAAGCGCCATATTTCCAGCGGGACGCTGTGCTAGAAGCCCCGCTATAGCGTCGGCGCCAGGTGACACGTATTTTGGCGGTGGCGGCAGCTGCAGCTGCTGCTGCTGCTGCCCTGCCAGTGCAATCGCTGCCGCCTTACCTGGTGAGAGTTCTGGTGTCTGCGGCGACGGCGAAATCTGCCGCCGTGGTTGCTGATGATCCCTGTTTTGGTCCTTTTGCCTCGAGACCTCATCCCCGCCGTTGTTGTTTTTATTGTTGTCTGACCCAACATCAAAATCGATGATGTCCTTTAGTCGCACCTTGCACTGCGTGGCAAGCATGAGGTTCTCCTCCAACTGCTCAAGTGAACCTCGCATAATGGGAAGTGCGAGTGTCTGCTTGATGCTTGGTCGTCGCGCAGGATCCTTTTGCAAGCACCAGGCCACCATTTTTCGAAATTCCGAAGAAAAGTGGGAAGGCAGCGGCGCGAATGTACCTTTCACAATGCGCTGCATCAGCTGCTGCATGCTATTGCCATCGAAAGGGTGCCGTCCAGTTGCAAGTTCGTACAACAGAACACCAAGTGCCCACACATCGGACTTGTTGTTGTACGGCTTGTTGCGGCATATCTCAGGAGAGAAGTAGTACGGGGTTCCGCAGACCGTGTTTGCCATACCCATTGTGTTGCGTAGCACTGTTGAGATGCCAAAGTCACCTAGTTTGACAGAACCATTCTTCATAAGAAAAACATTCATTGTCTTTATGTCGCGGTGTAGAATGTGGCGTGAGTGAAGGTACTCCATTGCTAGGCAGACCTGTGAATAATAATACAAGATCGTGCTCTCCTTCATTGGACCGTGCTTGAGCTTCATATGGAGATCACCCCCGTCGCAGTACTCCATCACAATGTACAGGTTGTTACGGTTCTCAAAGTGCTCGACGTATCGCACAATGTTCGGGTGGTTTAGCTGCTGCAGAACACGACACTCATGGCGTGCCTCCTCCCGCTCCTTTTTGCTCATCTTGCCAAGGAACACCTCCTTAATCACCAGCAGGGCGTTGTCGCTGCGGCGCTTGATGAGGATGGCGCTGCCGAAGCTGCCCTTTCCGAGCACACGTACCTTTGTGTACTTTTCCATTTTCTTCCACTCACTAACACAAAAACAAACTCCTCTTGCGCTTGTTTCGTCCCCCCCC